CACTCTCACATGACCCATCCTTCAGCGTTGTTCATTGACGGGGGTCTGCCTTATCTCCCCCGTTTTCTCCTTTCTGTCCCGTCTTCACCTCTATTCTTGCAGATGCTGCCCCCATCAGCCCCATTTCCTAGACCTCTGCCCCATATTCCTCCCAAACACTAGCTCCAGTTACCCACATATACTCACTCCACTCTTGTTCACCTCCATTCCTTCCCCCGTTTTCTGGTCTCCATTTATTCTCACTCTGCCTCTAATCATCTCATTCATTTAAATCCACTACCAATGTAACACCTAGTACCGTCTTCTCATTTATAGTCTGTTTCCAAGTCAAGTCTAGTTGCTTCTACTCTGCCTCTTAGCGCCCCCCTTTGGTCACACTTTGTCTTGAATTCATCACTTTTCACTCACATTGGGCTCTGTGTATCCCCACTGTAGCCACCTTGGCCACGTGACCTTCAGCCCTTCTCTGCCTCACGATACCCATCTTTACTCACCTTCTTTCTTTCTCTCTCTCTCTCTCCTTTTTTTTTTTTTTTTGAGGCAGAGTCTCACTATGTTGCCCCCAGCAGACTGCCGTGGCATCACAGCTCACAGCAACCTGAAACTCTTGGGCTTAAGCAATCCTCTTGCCTCTGCCTCCTGAGTAGCTGGGACTACAGGCACCCACCATAATGCCTGGCTATTTTTTAGTTGCAGTAGTTATGTTCAGCAGGCCCAGGCCAGGCTCCAACCCGCCAGCCTTGGTGTATGTGGCCGGTGCCCTACTCACTGAGTTACGGGTGCCACCCTACTCATCTCTTTTTACTTTCCTTCCTTCTCAGTCTGCTCAACAGTGCCTCCATTCATGCTCTTCTGCCCATTCTCACTTGCCAGTTCTCACTGGGGTTGATGTACCCCCCACATTTCTGGATCACTACCCGGCATTACCCCTATCTAATCCCAGTCTGCCCCTGCTCACCTCTCGTCTCTCTCTTCTCTCAGAGTACCTCCAACTCAAACCAACACAGCCTGGTTCACGCTCTACTATTTATTCAGCTCCATTCATTCCCTCTTCTTCTGCCCCTCCCGCATCCCGTTCTTCCCTTCATGCCCCCCATTACCCCTATTCACTCCTACTTTCTCCCCAGTTCTCCTCTCTTTACTCATGTCATCCCTCAAAGGCCACATTTATTCATACTCTAATCCTTAATGCTCACATCACCTCCATGTGCATTTGCTACCTTTCACTGCCCCATTCGCTCACCGTTTGCTCTCACTTGCACCTTTTAGCACCTAGATTGGGCCTCATTTTCTCACCATTCAGTCTCATTAAAATCTCCAGTTAATTCATAATCGAATGCATTGTCGTTCCTTTCCTCGGCCCCACGTTCACACCACTCTGCTGCTCACTCACTTCCATTCTGTTGCTCTTTGCTTCTTACATCCACTCACTCCCAATTTGTCCTTCAGTCACCATTACTCACGGCCCCCCCAGTCCCATGTGTCTCATGCTCACTGACACTCACACCGACCAGACAGAATAGTCCGATGCCTTGCTGTTTAGCATTCGATCTGTTCTCACGTATCAACACCACCACAGATCTCCGTGGCTTCGAGAGGGCGAAAGGGGATTCCTCTTTCAGTGGAAGGTAATTCAGGGCTAGTGTGGTGGTTCCAAAGTGACCAGAGACCTGGCTTCTTCTGTGCTGTTGCTCTGCCAACCTCACCTGCTGTCTCCTGGTTCAAAATAACTGCTCACAATTGGCAACACTTTCAGAGGTGTTTTTTTTTTTTTTTTTTTGAGACAGAGTTTCACTTTGTCGCCCTTGGTAGAGTGCTGTGGTGTCACAGCTCACAGCAACCTCCAACTCTTGGGCTTAGGCGATTCTCTTGCCTCAGCCTCCCGAGTAGCTGGGACTACAGGCATTTGCCACAAAGCCCGGCTATTTTTTTGTTGCAGTTTGGCCGGGGCTGGGTTTGAACCCACCACTCTTGGTCTATGGGGCTGGTGCCCTACTCACTGAGCCACAGGCACTGCCCTACTTTCAGAGTTTTGATAAGTTTTGATAAAATGTATCTTAAGAGCAATTGTAATGATGATTCACCAGTCAGATGGGGGGGGTTCTCATTGTCTTTGTGGGGGACATGCAGACTGTTGGTGGAACTGGCCACTTGTCAGCTTCCCACATCCCTTTACCTAGCCACCTGGGTTTAGGTCACTGAATGAGGAGATTCCACCTAAAGAGACTTATGGTAGAGGATGTCCAGGAGAGATAGTGCGGATCTTGGCTCCACCGCAGGAAAGCAGGCCTCCCATAGCTTGGGCATGTACCCTGAGGGCCTGTATCACTGATTTAGAAACATTTCTGGAGCTGGAAATCATTGCACCCTAATTCCTACCAACTCTGAAGGATTACCACCTTTTCTTAGGTGTGTGTATACAAGGTTGTGGGGATGATTAAGAGAGCTGGGAAATTTTGTACCCAGGAGGTACTGATCCTTTAAGGTAGTGGGTCTCAACTTTCCTAATGCCTCAATGTATTTTCATTGTTAAAAAGGGTTCACAACCCACAGGTTGAGAACTGCTGCTTTAAGGAGCAAAAGGTCTGAGTTCCTCTCTTGTTTTATCTTTTAAAAAATTAAAAAAATTTCAATTATTATGGGTGCATAATCGTTTTATGTATTTACAGGCTACATGTGATTTTTGATATAGGCATATAATCAAAGTAATTGGGGTATCCTTCACCTCAAGAATTTATTATTTCTTTGTGTTAGGAATATTCCAATCCTACCGTTTTAGTTATTCTAAAGTATACTATAATTTATTATTGACTATAGTGACTTTGTTGTGCTGTCAAATATTGTTCATTCTATCTAGCTATAATTTTGTACCCATTTTATCCTCCATCCCTACTACCCTTCCCAGCCTCTGGTAACCATCATTCTACTCTCTGTCTCCATGAGATTAATTATTTTCATATTTAACGCCCATGTATGCATGAGAACATGCAAGATTTGTCTTTCTGTGCTTGGGTTATTTCACTTAACATAATGTTCTCCAGTTCCATCCATGTTGTTGCAGCTTTCTCTCTTTGCCTTGTATGCCAGGACGCTCTATTCCTTCGCTTGTTTTAATGGTTCTGGAATGAGGTTCCTCATATACCTTTTGAAAGTTCTGTAGGATATTGAATAAACAAAAGAAGAGTATTATTGGGAAGAAGTTATGGATCTGACCTTGGGAAAATTACTTAATCTCACTGTAATTCAATCTCCTTATCTGACTGGTAGAAGTTATAAAACTATTGTGACTATCTGAGGCAGGTCCTGTCATGTACTTCACACAGTGTCTGGCACACAGGAGATCCTGAGTTATATTGCTTGCTGTGCCTGTTGGCAGGAGTGTCCTCACTGGTTTTCCTGTTCTCATCCTTGCCTTCTGCAGTCTGGTCTTCACAAAGGAACCTTCAAGTCATATTTTTATTTTTTCCTCCTTAAGAAACATATATATACATACATAAAATTTTATTTAAATAACAAACACTTCCATAACACTTGTTATGTGCTTATTATGTTCTAAACCCTTTATAATTTTCAACTTGCTACCATAACTCTATTGAAGTAGGTGCTACTACCATCATCCCACTTTTATAGTGAGGAAACAGTACAGAGAAGAGTTGTACCCCAAGTCACAGAGCAGGTACTACATAGGTGAGGGTTTGAACTCAGGCTGTCTCCATCATATTTGCTTATTTGTATCTGTTTGCTTCATTCTCAAAACTAGAACACTAGGTGGCATACAAGAGGTGCTTAAGCAAATCCCTGTGGAGGTCACATTATAGTGGGGCAAGACAGGCAATAAACAACTGAGTCCTATAGAGATGTGTTTTTCAGTTTTTTTAATATTTAAATTACATATGTGGCTTTTTAAAAAGACAGAATCTTACTATGTTACCCCCAGTAAAGTGCTATGGCGTCACAGCTCACAGCAACCTCAAACTCTTGGATTTAAGCGATTTTCTTGCCTTAGCCTCCCAAGTAGCTGGGACTATGGGCAACTGCTACAACGCCCAACTATTTTTTGTTGCACTTGTCATTGTTTTTTAGCTGGCCTGGGCTCGAACCCACCAGTCTGGGTGTATGTGGCCGGCATCATAACCACAGTGCCACAGGCGCCAAGCCGTTTTTAACGTTTTTTAATGCTAGATTTACTCAGACGGGCCTTTAAACATTTGACACCGTTTCTGCCCATCCATAAAAAGCAAACCTTTGGCCACACTTAATACACCCTCTTCATCCCCGGGGTGCGTGAGTGTGTGTCCCAAATCACCATTTATTTATTCTTCAGCTTGCTCGTCCGCATACCAACCTACAAACGCTATAATGTAAACTCCCAGCACTAGCCACTAGATGGAGCCAGTGGCTTTCTCCTACCTCTTAGCTAGTCTTCGTGCAGGCAAAGAGAGTCTGCCGCGCAGCCTGCAACCCCCCTTCCTGCCCTCCAAGTTCAAAACACGAAATTGCCACCAGCTAGAATCTTGTCTTTAATCAGGTACTTCCCTTCCCCGTCCTCTCCCAATACAAAAGTTGGTGTCTGAAGTCTTAGGATTGCCAGTCTCCGCAGAACAAAGTAAACACTGGCTCTCCTCTTTCGCCCTTGAAAAATTCAAGGTGGGCACGGCCATCCGTCTCAGGGCTATGGCGTCATCAATGAAATTACCTTCCTTCTGCGCCTGCGTCCCTGTTCGGGCACTTTCTCGGCCCCATGTTGACTGTTGGCGGATGCGACCTCAAAGGCACCACTGAGCGTGCGCAGAACAAGCGCTGCAGTCGTGTTTGGCTGCGGTGCCAAAGAGTCGGTCCCCGAAGCGGAAGTGCTTCTTGGGGCCAGTTCTTGTAACGGTCCTCTCATCAACGAACAGAAAATCTGATGTCGAGAGAGCGGGGTTGAGGGGGCAAGTGCTAGGGGTCGTGGGCTGAGTGATGGGGAGTTCTAGGGGATGAGTGAAGAGGGGTTTGAGGGGGTGAGTGGTGAGGCACCGAGAGTTCAGTGAATGAGGGTCTGGGGGCTAAATGGTGGCCAAAGTTACGGGGCTAGTCAGGATTGAATGGTGCCTATTAAACTGTGACTTTTACACATTTCCCAGCACGGTGACCGGCTCTAAAGGTTCACGCGCATCTTTCAGGCCCCTCAGTAGATGCACCCCGCTCCTCCTGCCCTCTTCTCTTGCCCAAGCCCAGAGATAAGGGCCTATTGTGAACGCTCCAGCTGAAGTGAACCTGCACCTGAAGGGCTCTTTTCGGCTCTCGGGCAAGACAGTCGCTGTGAGGTGAGCTGAAAGAGGCACGCACCTGTGAGGACTCACCTACCCGTGGGCCTCTCCCGGAGTCTGGGGCCTGGGAACGGTGGGCGGGGCCAGGCGCCACGAGGTTTGAGGGGTTTTGAGAGCAAAATGTCGTTGAGATAATAGTTTTCGAGTTAAGTTTTTGGCATTTAATAAATAGCACATTCGAATGATAGATTAAGTAGGAAATAGAAGAAAAGACAATAAAAGGAACTAATTCTATCCCCCATTTAAATTCCCATTCTTAGACATTTTTAGTGCATAGGGGTATACCTTTTAAACATTTAACATAAAGTTTTAAAATGGGTGTCTGCAGTTTTATAACTTACTTTGTTCTCATTTAGAAGTTTAATGTAAGTCATCTTAATTTTTTTCTGTACTGTTTTTAAAGTTTAAATTGAGATATGTGTACCACAAAGTACATGAGATATGTGTACAGTTAATTTTATATGACATTATTTTTAACATCCGGTTAACATTTAATCCCTATATTTCCTTATTATTAATCTCTTATTGTGGGTCATATAGGATCGCTTAAGTTTGGCATTATTAAAGTCAGTGCTGAGATGAAGGTACTTACAGAGAAATGATACAATATAATAAATTATTTGATTAAGGAAAATACTTTAGAAATATAATTTCTGGGTCACTACTCAATATATACGTATACACACATATACATAACCTTTTGTGTTTAGCGTTTACATTAAGAAAAGAGTCAGGACTATACTAGTTGTTAAAACCACATGGTTTCTCAAACTCTTTCACAGAGTGGCTTCCTGGCCTGCTAGTATGAAGGGATTTCTAGGTAGATAATTTGGGGTGTGTCCTCATAAGCTGTCATACACTCTTCTCCCCATTTTTCAGCTCAGTCTTCACAAATCTCTGCTTTTTCTCAAGAAGAGCAGGAAATGGCCAAATCCCAGGTATGTCTGTCTGTCTGTTCATTTATTTATTTTACTATGGATGTGATATGTAGGGGAATAGGAATAGTATTTGTAAATAAGGATTAGGATCAGGGAAAATAGGAGACTGAGGATCCAGGCCAGGTTAGAATGTGTCTCCATGTAGGACTTAGGGTATAACAGATATATGAATTAATATTCAGCTGTCAGTTTCTCTTTGAGCTTCTTGACAGTCAAAGGGAAAAATAATTGGTACCTAGGCTCACCTCCTTACCAGGAGAGAGCACACCAAGGCCTGGGGGCAAGTCAAGCTTTCCTAGAATTGCTCTTCAAGGCATTTTTTCGCCAAGTCTTCATGTGAATGGTGGAATTGTCTTCAACCCCAGCCTGGTGACAAGTGCAGTCCTTGGTTTCCTGCATATATTACCTACAGCATTCCTCAGTGAGCTGGAGATGCCATGTCAAAATGTAATTTGGGAATGAAATCTCTTAGAGTCCTGCCTGTCTTTTTTTTTTTTTTTGAGACAGAGCCTCCAGCTGTCCCCCTGGGTAGAGTGCCATGGCATTACAGCTCACAGCAACCTCCAACTCCTGGGCTCAAGCGAGTCTCCTGCCTCCGCCTCCCAAGTAGCTGGGACCACAGGCGCCCGCCACAACGCCCGGCCATTTTTTGGTTGCAGCCGTCATTGTTGTTTGGTGGGTCCGGGCTGGGGATTCGAACCCGCCACCCTAGGTGTACGTGGCTGATGCCTTAGCCGGTTGAGCTATAGGCGCCAAGCCAGTCCTGCCTGTCTTTCAAGTGATTTTCCTGAAGTAATTTTCTCAGTTGGACTTTGAATTATCTTTTGGCCAAGTGACAAAGTTCAGATACCCATAGCTCATCATCTTTTTTCTTTCATTTTTCTCTGTTTTTTTGTTTTTTTTTTTTTTTGAGACAGAGTCTAACTTCGTCACCCTCAGTAGAGTGCTGTGGTGTCATAGCTCACAGCAACCTCAAACTCTTGGGCTTAAGCAATTCACTTGCCTCAGCCTCCCAAGTAGCTGGGACTACAGGTGCCTGCCATAGCACCTGGTTACTTTTAGAGACGAGGTCTTACTCTGGCTCAGGGTGGTCTCGAACTTGTGAGCTAAAGTAGTCCACCCACCTTGGCCTCCCAGAATGTTAGGTTTACAGGTGTGAGCCACTGTGCCTGGCCTATCATCTTTTTTCTTTCACTTTTTAAATCTTTATCTTTAAAATTAACATGTAGAAAAATTGATTTTACTGTTGTATAGGTTGGTAAATGTTAACACATGTACATATTGATGTAACTAATCTGTAGGATGGATAATAGTTTCATCACTGCAACAAATCCCCAACAAACTGCTACATGCTATCTCTTTATAGTCACATCCTTCCCCATCTGTACCCTCACACAGCCACAGGTCTATAGTTTGTCTTTTCAAGAATGTCATATGAGTGGGGTCACATACTGGGTAACCTTTTCCTTTTTTTTTTTTTTTTGCAGTTTTTGGCCGGGGCTGGGTTTGAACCCGCCACCTCTGGCATATAGGGCTGGTACCCTACTCCTGTAAGCCACAGGCACCACCCGTAACCTTTTCCTTTTGAGATGATAAATTTACATGGGATTCTAAGAATAGTATAGAGAAATCCTGTGTGCCCTTTTCCTCAGTTTCCCGTGATAACATCCCACAGAACTGTAGTATAGTATCAAAATCAACACAGGATCATTCTACTAGCACAGGGAGATGTTATCCTCAAGTTGTCCTTTTTTTTTTTTTTTTTTTTTTTTTGAGACAGAGCCTCAAGCTGTCCCCCTGGGTAGAGTGCCATGGCATTACAGCTCACAGCAGCCTCCAACTCCTGGGCTCAAGCGAGTCTCCTGCCTCCGCCTCCCAAGTAGCTGGGACCACAGGCGCCCGCCACAACGCCCGGCTATTTTTTGGTTGCAGCCGTCATTGTTGTTTGGCGGGTCCGGGCTGGGGATTCGAACCTGCCACCTTAGGTGTACGTGGCTGGCACCTTAGCTGGTTGAGCTATAGGCGCCGAGCCAAGTTGTCCTTTTATAGCCACATCCACCACCCTTCCTCCCTCCTACCCGTTCCTAAACTCCTGGAATATACTAATCTGTTCTACGTATCAGGAATTTTGTCATTTCAACAATGTGATACTAATATAAATGGAATCATAGAGTATGTGACCTTTTAGAATTGGATTTTTGGGGCACAATTCCCTGGAGATTCATCCAAGTTATTTTTGTGTGTGTTAATAGTTCTTTCTTTTTATTGCTGAGTTGTAGTCCATGGTATAAATGTATCACAGCTTATTTATCCACTTACTTGTTGGAAGACATTTGGGTTATTTCCATTTTTTGGCAATTTGGAATAGAGCTACTTTCAGCAACCATACGCAAGTTTTTGTATGAACACATGTTTTCATTTCTATGGAATAAATACTGGGTTGGTGGGTCATATGGTAAGTGTATGTTTAACTATTTTTTTTTGAGACAGAGGCTTGCTTTGTCACCCTCGTAGAGTGCTGTGGTATCACAGTTCACAGCAGCCTTTAACCCTTGGGCTTAAGTGATTCTCTTGCCTCGGCTTCCCAAGTAGCTGGGACTACAGGCACCCACCGTAATGCCCAGCTATTTTTTGGTTGTAGTTGTCATTGTTGTTTGATAGGCCCGGGCTGGATTCAAACCTACCAGCTCCTGTGTATGTGGCTGGCTCCCTAGCTGCTGAGCTGCAGGTGCCGAGCCTGTCTGTTTAACTTTTAAAAAAAATTTTTTTTTTTGCAGTTTTTGGCCAGGACTGGGTTTGAACCCACCACCTCCGGCATATGGGGCTGGCGCCTTACTCCTTTGAGCCACAGGTGCCGCCCCCAACTTTTAAAAAATTTGCCAAATTGTTTTCCAAAGTGGTTGAACCATTTTTCATTTCACCCAGTAATTTATGAATTCTAGTTGCTCCACATTTTTGTTAGCATTTGTTATTTTTGGTATTTTTACTTTAGTCATTCCAATAGGAATGTAGTTGTATATCTCATTATGGTTTAATTCGCATTTCCCAGTGGCTAAACGTGTTGAGCATCTCTCTATATATGCTTATGTACTTTTTCTATATCATCTTTGATATATCATCTTCATCTTCATCTTTGATGAAGTGTCTATTAAAAAGTTTCTGCTCATGGGCAGCACCAGTGGCTCAGTGGGTAGGACGACGGCCCCATATATGGAGGGTGGAGAGTTCGAACCTGGCCCCAGCCAAATTGCAACAAAGAAATAGCTGGACATTACTGCGGGTGCCTGTAGTACCAGCTACTCGGGAGGCTGAGACAAGAGAATTGCCTAAGCCAAGGAGTTGGAGGTTCCTGTGAGCTGTGTGATGCCACAGCACTCTACCAAGGGCAATAAAGTTAGACTGTGTCTCTACCAAAAAAAAAAAAAGTTTCTGCTCATTTTAAAATTAGATTCTCTCACTCTTGAGTTTTGATAGTTCTTTGTACATTCTTCTACTAGTCCTGTATTGGCTACTTGGTTTGTAAGTATTTTCTCTAAGTATGTGGCTTGTCCTTTTATTCTCTTAACTGTGTTGTTTGTAGGGCAACTCTCTTCTAGCTATTTGAAAATATACAATAATCTGTTGCTAATTATGGCCATCCTGCAGCAGCTGTAGAACACTAGAACTCATGCCTCCTGTCTAGGTGTACTTATTCATCCGTTAACCAACCTTTGGCTTTCCTCCCCCCTCCCTATCCTTTCCTACCTCTAGTAACCACTCTTTTACCCTCTACTTCTGTGAAACCAACTGTTTTAGCTTTCACAGATAAATGGGAACATCAGTATTTTGCCTTTCTGAGCCTCTTATTTCACTTAGCATAATGTCCTCCAGGTTCATCCATTGTTGCAAATGACAGAATTTCCCTCCTTTTGAATACCAAGTAGTTCTTCTATTGTGAATAGGTAACTCTTTGACATACTGAAGAGTTAGTATACTTTTTGGATCCTTTGGATACTATATACCCAGAAGTGAGAATGCTGGATTACATGGTAATTCTGTTTTTACTTTTTTTGAGTAATCCTCTGTTTTCTATAATGGCTATATTAATTTACATTTCCTCCAACAGTGTGCAAGGGTTCCCTTTTTCCCACATCCTTGCCAATACTTGTTTTTAATAATAGCCATTCTGATAGGTATGAGGTGATATCTCACTGTGGTTTTAATTTATACTTCCCTAATTAGTAGTGATGTTGAGCATTTTTTTCATTTTTATATCTTTCTTTGAGAAATGTCTATTTGTATCCTTTGCCCATTTTTAAATTGGGTTATATACACAGCTATGATTTAATAAAAATAAATTGGGTTTTTCCTTGCTATAGAGCTGTTTTAGTTCCTTATATATATATTTTGGATATTAACCCCAAATCAGATGTATGGCTTGCAAATATTTTCTCCCTTTCCATGGGTTGCCTCTTCACTCTCTTGTATCCTTTGCTATGAAAAAGTTTTAGAAAAAAAATTATTTGTGTAAGTGTATGGGGTACAAATATAATTTTGTTACGTGGAGTATTACATAGCCACGAAGTTAGAACTTTTAGGTTATCCATCATTTGAATAATATATGTTGTACCCATTAAGTGATATCTCATCATCTACCTCCTTTCCACCCACCCTTGCGAATCTCCATTGTCCATCATTCAACATTCTGTGTCCATGTGTACACATTATTTAGCTCCCACATATAAGTGAGAACCTGCAGTTATTTGTCTTTCTGTATGAGTTGTTTCACTTAAAATAATGGTCTCCAGTTCCAACCATTTTACTACAAAAGACATTTTATTTTGTATGGCCAAGTAGTATTCCATTAGGTGTATGTTATCACATTTCCTTTTTTTTTTTTTTTTTTTGAGACAGAGCCTCAAGCTGTCACCCTTGGTAGAGTGCTATGGCATCACAGCTCACAGCAACCTCCAACTCCTGGACTCTAGCGAGTCTCCTGCCTCCGCCTCCCAAGTAGCTGG